GAAGTGAACAAGAAGTGAACAGGCACGTTGGCCATTTCTGGTCATGTCAGTGCAATATGTTAACACTTCCTTGAAGTTTTACATCGAATCCTTCAAAACTTTATAAACCATAAGGACCAACTTAAAAGTGTTTTTTTGCGGTTTGTTATCATTTGCAGGTGTTTTGGGAGTTTTAGCAGAGACACAAGCTTCATGCCAATGCCTCGTAGCAGCATGATACCACATCAAAGAAGGCTACGTTAAAAATGGACAAACAATGCAGTGCTATATTTTTTAATGAACATTTTTTATTATCTAGTCAAATCTAGCAAAAACTATTTACGCTCATTAGTTATATACGAAAGCGATTAGTCTTGATTGAAAATTGTCATTTCACCATTAAACCTAATCGACATTGACAAATGTGCTAAAGACACTCACGTTCGGTCAATATCCAGCCATGACTATCTACCGTTCTGTCAGCAATTGAAACGTTCATATATGTAACCGTTGATAAATAGCATTCGTGGCCACCGAAAAACGAAGTCATATTCATATATTCTGCAGACATACATGTAAAGTTCGCAGACATGAGGCACAATTTTTCACATTCCTCGATGCTCTTTGTAAACTTATACACTTCCTGGTTGTTGCCAATTATGCCAAGTTCAGGGTGGTGACTGAATGTCTGCCCAAGTTCATCACCTGGAAGAACAAGTGTCTTCTGTTGGAATGCAAAATGTACATATTGACACATTTCACACATCCCTGAAAATACGACTAGGTTGGCTTCTATTTTGTGATGACCTATGTGTATACCGTGAAACAAATCTTTCCACATGTATGTTATCACCAAAGTGTTTGCAACCCAACAGTTTAGCCCCATATCCACGATGACATAATATTCAATGAATGTACGTAATAAAATGTAAAATAATGCTGTTGAAATATATGAAAGTAAATACCAACGACAAATGACCATTCGCTTGACTTTGACCTTCAGTTACGATGGTTCAAAAGCTTACTATTTCAATGCCTCTTCCTGAACAATACAGGTATCGCTTCCTAACTTATCACGAACATCATACATTTTAGTGTATGACCTTCAGAGTTAATTTCATCATCCAGATACTGAAAATGATATGTTGGAATAAAGCAACATGTAAACTACTGTCTTTGTGAAACTGTTAAAAGCTAAGTCCAGTCACGAAATGAGCAGGGTGGTGAGATTTGCCATGGACTTTCAAACGCCATATAGACTTGAGTTAAGTGATGACTGATGCTTTAAACTCTCTGCCGTCACTTTGCAGAATCTGAGCAGCGCCGACCAAAAAGAAAATGCCTACCATCTTCAACCTCTGCAGCACGTCAGCATCGATACGAGGTCAGCATCGATACGATTGAAATACGTTATAAAATGACTAAAAAAGTTACGCATCTATTTAATTGCTGAAGGTTATCAGGTAATTTCCAAATTGACATATCGACTTGTGTGTGGTCCAAACATGGGCAGTCATATTATGTCCAATGTTCAAGAATAACCAGTTCGGGTACGTTTAGAATAATTTGAAGTACCGGATGTTTCTCAATTTGCCATACTTGTTTGTTGCATGTTATTCTACTAGCGTTAAGACCAAAGTGTGAATTCCTTACACTGTATGCAGGCATTGGCTGAAGGCGAGTAGAGAGGGCCTGGTCCACAGAGGCACTTGCCTTTGTGACAAAATGGTTCTTCCCTCCTCTTATCATCCATGTTTGATGAGTCGTGTTGGGGCCCTGGAACGTTATAACAACGGACAAAACAAGTGGTTTTTCCACGTCGCCAATATGTTAGGCCTATTGTGACTTGTACGTGCTTTACCTTGAAATGATGAAAATTATATTGTCGAGTGTACAATAAATAGCAATATATCACAAACATATTTAGAACTAGTTGGGGAAGATCAGATTTTTAGACAACAATACAACGTAGAAATAGTGCCCAATCACCGAAGCTCATCTGGAAATGTAGTAAACAGTTTAGAGAAGCAAAGAGAGCCAGTTATGGAACTTTGCTGTCAGTATTAATATTCACAAATGTGCACTGCATAAATGCTGAGGACGAACATTAAAATAAAATGAAATTGACATGGGTTCAGCTCCCCCAGGCTGGCAATTTCAGAGGTGAAAAACGTTTACAAATAAGCAGTTTGAGAGAATTTAAGCGCAAAGAACAAAATAAATAAGGACACAATTTTACATAATGCAAAAGGAAAATCCAGACCGTATGTATATGCTGAATGCCACCACTAACTTAACAAATACCAAAATGACTGAAATTGGTCACAAATAGCTGTGTCAGCAAGAATGGGATTGGAATTAAAATCTCTTAAATAAATTTGGGTGCCAACACAGGTAGGAACCAGCCCTATAGGAAATACTATACATTCCAGATCTTCAACAAAGCCTGCATTAGTTCATAAGCCTGTAGAGCATGGCAGTTACAATAACACCTGGAAAGCCAAATCTTGTTTCTTAATTATTACCAACTTCAGTTTTTTCACTTGGTTGCAAAATATAATGCTGTGAAAATAAACACGGCTCTCCAACATGAAGAATCAGTGATCCTTTGTGTAACATCCAACATACTTCTTCTTAATTATTCTTTAATCTAATGTAATCACGATCTCATTGGACTTCCTTTCGAGTGGTGCATATACGGACGGTTAACCTGGCCAAATGAATGACACGGTGATTTCTTTGGTTAGCTAAACCTGCAGAAAGGAAATATACTCTAAAGTCATTTCACTATACCTACCTTTAAGATCAGCTGTGTAAACGGGTGCAGTTGTTAGATGCGGTGGCCTTCTCCTCTTTTCCATGACCACCGATTCACATTTCGCCAGTAGAATACACTTCACAATACAACGCACTGAAATTTTTATCTGTCGATTCCCGTCACCAGAACAAATTTCCATGACAGCTTCCTCTTTTGTTTGAGTCATAGATGACATATGCAGTCTATATTCTCTCATTGATGAATACACAGTCGCGACGGCAGACAGGATGAACACACCTATCAGGGACATCTTGCTTACAGGAGACTTGAGGCAAAATTGTTCATTTGTGACTGGCCCATTGGATGGAAACGACGTATACCTATGTACACGACATAACACATTAATAATAGAGCCACCTCTATTTGTAGCTCATCCTGAATACACTTCCCTTTCACCACAAGACGAACGGAATGCATCCACAAATTCTAATGTAAAAGCCAAAAGGGGGCGGGGCGGGACTTTTCTCATATTCCTAAAAGATTAATCAAATCCCTGTTTAACTATAGATATGCCTTGCAAGTTGCTCTCTTCTGCAGTCAGTGTATATTTAATATCTAGAAGTCAGATTTTAATTAGGGCTCCCTGACCTAAAAGGCAAGAACCCTATTGTAATGTTCGATGTATTATTATTTATCATTCCGCCGATTTTTGTACCAGACCTAGCAAAATAACCACAGGCTCGATTTTGTTCAAATTTTGTATGTGTATGTAAATCGTTGAGTATGAGTGCCCGACAAAATCCCAAGGCCGTAGGCCCAGTGGCCAAGGGCAGATAACTGAAAAACAAGTATTCTTTGAAGATATATTTCGCCCTATTGCTCTGTAACCGCTTGTCCGATGATTTTCAAACTTTGTATGTATCTACTGTTGACTTTGGACATTGGTCACGTTGTTTGGAGCCATATTGGATTCAAGGATTCTCTTCTTGCTCTTATGTCAAATGGCATGTGTGTGACTGATAGCCACGGTAACGGTATAGCGAGACAATGCAATCAGCGAGCCTGATCACCCGATCCCGTTAGTCGCCTCTTACGACAAGCATAGTCGCCTTTTACGGCAAGCGTGGGTTGTTGAAGACCTATTCTACCCCGTATATTCATGGGTTTCAGTTTACATGAGCTTTGTGTTGACATAGATCATAATGTATACACTCTAGTCTTGTAAATGAGTGAAATATTGTATGTAGTTTCGTTATTTATAAATATTTCCATGATACTCGAATACATCCAAAATGAATCGGTACATTGCCATTAAAACCAAACGTTAGAAATGTGGAAAAACAAAAATGTTGGGTGGGGTCCGTGCTATATCCCCAGTTACTACCAAGTTAGGGCATTTGTTTTCAAACAGAAAGAAAACCTCATTGCGCGGCTCTGTACAGCATTGATACCAGTCATGTTGTACAAACACCATTACAGGCGCCATATACGAACATACAGTTTGACGTCGTCAATTCATCCCCATCCCCACCATACGGGACAGGTAATACCTATGAGTAGCTCCCAAACATTTTATTTACTGGAAAAAATCAGTTTAACGAACCAATACTTTTACAGTACTTTAACCCCCTTCGAGGATACAGCCACTATCAATGTTTAAGTTACCACCGACACCTGATAAAAAGTCGGCACAAGAACACTTATGTTCCTCCAGATGGTTGGTAGAAGTGGGATGTCAGATAATGTTAAGAAACAGAAGAAGCAATTGAAAGAATAGCTAACTATTTCCACGGAGCAGTTACATATCTTGTCATTAGACGATCGATTTCGGTTTCTGTATTAAATATGATTGTGTCACTTTGTAAAGCAAAAACAAATGTGTTTCGTCAGAAAATAAGTACATGAAGCGATTTTATATGAAAATATAGAGTTGACAGTGGGTAATTATATTCCAGCTGTGAACATAAAAGTTTCAAGCAAGGAACAACCTGAAAAATGGGAGTTCAGATTACACGGGGTCCGGAGTGATTATATCTACGAGACAAAACCTTACGTATACATGCATGTACCTAGTTCTACACACGACTATTATATACTATTAAACTACTATTAAATTGCAGGTAAAGTCAATGTACTGGCTGCTCAAGGCGAGCACGCACAAAACATGCAAACTTGCGTTCTTCCGGGAAAATTGTGAATTTTAGAAGCAGCTGTAAAATATCGGCCAACATACCGGATGTGACGTCTTGATTGTCATGGCGACGTACACAACAGAAGTACGGCAGTTTCCTGGTGTGTTTTGATGCAATAATTATGCTGGGGAAAGGTAGTCTGCGTACTTAGAAATCCCACATCCCGACAATATGTTACATGTTTTACAGTGCTGTGATCGGGTGACATCTTGTCAATATGGACTGTTTGTACACACGCACTATTTGATTTGAGACAGCTGTCTCTGGCCCTATTGATTTCTCTCTTCGGACGACACAGTGTTCGGGCTGCGCGGATTACAGTGAACAATATCGACAGGTGAGTGGATAGCCGATGTATTTGCCTCCCTGGACTCACCTCTGTCAAACAGGTTACGGAATATACCGAGTGGTCTTTACTTATATGTCGGACAGGACCGAGCAGCCTTGTACACATATAGATTCCGGCAGCAGCATGTAGGATTTTCTTTCTCTCGAAAGTCAAACTATATTGATTCGAGAAAGTGGAATAGAGTGGTGTGATTTTAAGGAAGACTCGGGGCAACACAAAGAACAGATTTTGTAAAACGTAACAGTTTCACATTCTTATGCTAACTTACGACTGTGCAAACAAACATGAACTTCCATACACGGCTTTACTATAATTGTTTAATAATTATGTTTATTGTCGTGAATTTGGATAATGTGGTAAGGGAAATGGTTGGCATGTTTAAATATATGTCGTTAAGCCATTTGCTACAGGGTATTGTTTAGATATTATTTATAAACTTTGGGTGACGTCTGTTATTTTGTATGGACATTGCTATCATGGAATAAGGCGATGTGAGCTAAAATGGGGTTTAACGTTGCGTCGCTTAAAGATTATCGCACTTATATAGCGACATGCATGCACGTGTGTGTGTGTGTGGCTGCTTGTACTAGTCCGGACTGATGCCGCTAGCACACTGAGATACCATGCCGCAGTTTAACATGAATGCCCCACTTAGACACAGTATTCTGACTCCGAGGCGACTAGTCCTTTAGCCCCTCAATGTCGAGCGCCTGACTGGGTAACAACAAGTACCATCTTTTAACGTCTTTTGGTAGCGAGATACGGAACTTCCCCCTGGGTTATATCCAGGCGGCTGGGGTCTACCGTGAATTATATACCCTCTCAACTATCCCACACTGGATACATGTTTGTTTGTTTGTTTGTTTGTTGTTTAACGCCGCACTCAGCAATATTCCAGCTATTTGACGGCGGTCTGTAAAATAATCGAGTCTGGACCAGACAATCCAGTGATTGACATCATGAGCATCGATCCACGCAATTGGGATCGATGACATGTATCAACCAAGTCAGCGAGCCTGACTTCCCGATCCCGTTAGTCGTCTTTTACGACAAGCAAAGTCGCCTTTTACGCCAAGTATGGGTTGCTGAAGACCTACTCTTACCCGGAATTTTCACGGGTCCACTGGATACATGTATATTTTATGTTGTAGCAGTATTACTCACGGTATATGTGGTTTTATGCGTCTCGCATTATGTTTTCTCCCACGAGTCGGCGCATAAAACATATCGAGGGACGCATAAAAGCACATACCCCGAATGATACTGCTACAACCAATTTATCTGCGAACATGTTTCAATCTGACTTTGTAAAAGAATTAAATACATTGCAAATAGAAAACAGCTGTTCGATTGAGCTGAGGTTAACTTTAGCTGTGTCACGTAACTCTCATTCATACGTACAGCTTTTGCTTCGTAGCGCTGTGCAAGAGGTTTATTGCCCCACTCAGAAATCCATGTGCAGCCTGTTTTCTTCGTGGCAGGGTATTCGGGATTTATTCACCCGCTCAGAAATGTATTTCTCTCCCAGGCGGGACACTTAGTATTTTTTCAAATTCATTTGAACCAATCCAACATACTCATACTCATACATCTGACCTGCCATACACAGTGAAACCCCTTTAATCAAGATTGTTCCCATCTGCATACGCGACAGACTTTGTTTTGCTGAAAGTAGTCAACATTCGCATCTTTGCATCTTTGAATATTTTATTCTCCTTTAACAGATCCATGCTCGGAACAACCAGAATACGACATGGACGACGGTGAAGCTCAGCTCCTCACACACAACATCGGGGCACTGCGCGAAGCCGTTCGTCTGAACGATGTTGCCAAAACATTGCGGTGGTTTGAATCACATCCTTCCATCATCACAAACCTTACTGAAATAAGCGACAACGTGCTGAACAAGCTTGTGTACATTTTTATAGAAGCTGTCCAACGGAACGGAGTAGATGTGTTCGGGGTCATGCTGAAGTACTTGTTCCCTGGTATGACGCGTCGAGATACAGAGCACACTCATCAGAAGCTACACGTATTGGTACATGCACTGATTGCTGATGGCTCCTTGCCCTGTCTCACCGTCTTTCTTCATGAAGGCCACGACGTGAACGCAGTGGACCCTGGTGGTATGACGATGCTTCTGTATCTTGCCTACAAGAAAGGTATCTCTCGAGTGAAAGATTATAAAGAGAAGCTTCACTTTCTGATCTCCCAGGGCGCCGATGTGAACAAAGAAGGCGAGCGGACCTGGGCTCTTGCACCACTTCATACGGCCGTGTTGTACAATTCGGGAGCAACATTAGTTCGTCTGTTGATTGAATCGGGGGCCGATGTCAATTTGCAAACCAACAATTCGCTTTGTACACCATTGTATTTTGCAGTTGATCGGGCAATGCCAAACATAGTTAATCTCTTATTTGAAAATGGTGCAGATCCATGTATTGGTGATGTACTTGGGGACACGCCTGTACACATGGCTGCTGTTAGACAAACTAAAGGTGACGATTTGCTTCGCATGTTTGTTAAATGGAACGCTCCAATGAATACTGTAGACTCCCGTGGGCGTACACCTCTCCAATGGGCGCTCTCTAATTGGAAGGCGGTCGGGACAAGACGGATACTGCTGTTGATGCAAGCAGGGTGTCGATGTGACAGAACCAGATTGCACAGGTTCCGAAACCAAACGGCAGTAAAACCTAAATATAGGGACAGGCTGTCCAGATTGGAGGACATGTTGGAGATGTACTTCTTCCAGCCGAGAAGCCTTCAAGACATCGCATGTTTCCGAATACGAGACGTCCTTGGTAGACACTTACCGAAGTTAGTTATACAATTGCCTATACCCGACCCAATCAAACGACGAGTAAAACTCGAACACTATTTTGGAAGACTGGAGTAATGTGGTTTAAGGTGTTATTTAGAGATAGTTTAGTGCCAGCGGACGCACCCGTGCGACGGATACACCCAGCTAGCGGATGATCTCAGATGTGGTGACTTGGATGTTTACGCGTGATTTTACACCGACGACCTGGATCGTTGCGCTCAATATCGGTCACTTGATTGTCTGGTCCAGACTCGATTATTTACAGCCCGTCGTCATATAGCTGAAATATTGCTTAATGCCGCGATACGTGATACACACGCGTATTTCGTTGATAGTCGTGTAAATATATCACCATATGAGGTAGGTATGGTGTTTCAATTCGCTAAACTTTGTAAAGTTGATCACCCATCGACTTCTAAATGAATAAATGCTTCGTATACTTCAGACACGAGGAAAGGGTACCCGGATTCGTGTATTGGTGACTGCTCTACACATTCTAAATAAATTTCCGTGAAACAAATGTATGCATGCAATTGCTACGGTGAAATGGGGATGTATTTAATGGTATTGCTACATCAACAAGAGACATTTCAGATATCCCTCTGTTTGTCAATGACAGCAACCGCAAAAGGGAATGAATGAAACAGAGCTTGAAGGCAGAGACCACTTTAAGTCACTATATTACATACATGTATAGTTTAACACCGTTCAGTGAAGTGACCATAACAAGAGGAATTCTACGCTTACATTTGGTTGTCCGATGCAATGTTGTTTTCCTGGGTTCATGTTGGTCCTGGCTCCCAGGCATGTTTTTGCGGTCACCGCGTAACTGTCGTGTATGGGACTGCTCCATCTGAAGCCAGTTTATCGCCTCGAATCACAGATATGAAAAATCGTTCAACATACGGCATTAGTTATCAATGAAATCCCATTTTGCGACATATCTCCTATTGCGATTATTTCACAATACTCTTTTAACTGGCGTCGCAGTATTTCTCATATCAATTTCTGATTGAGACAGTATGATTGATTAATTGGAACACAAGCGTTGACTGGTGTCTTTTGATATAGTCAAGAAACGTGAAGTCTTAGTGCCGTCCTCTATAAAAATGGTATTTAGATGTAGTTTGTAGAGATTACAATTTTCTTGTAATACTATCCAGTGACTTCATTTTGTGTCTTTTAACGCACTGTTCAGTAATATTCCGGGTGTATCACATCGACCTGTACATAATCGAATCCAGACAAAACCAGACCAACCACTGATTGACCCGTGCAACATCTGCTGCGGTGCATCCATGACAATATTTCAAACCAAGTCACTTAGTCTGAAAACCGGGTCCATTTAGACGCCTCGATCACCAAGCATAACTTTCTTTGGACCTGTTTTACTCCGAAATCGCCACCAGGGAACCATGATCGGACGTCACGTCACTTCACGTCCATATTAAGATCGCTGTGACGTTATTGAAATCTGTAAATATTTTTTCCTCTGTACCTCACTAACGTCGAATGTAACAATATCAGTTCTTTTCCACATACCCAGTGAACAATTTAATAACAATCACTCACTTGCAGGAACTGTGTTTTGTGCTTTTGTTTTATTTACATATCGCCTTTTAATCTCAAGATGTCATTTATTCTTTCAGTGTTGTGTTTTGAGTCAATATAGTACCCCTGCATGAAATGTATGAAGGCTGAAGTTAGAGTGCTATCAAACATACACTATTTTAATGTTCGTGTTCTGGCTAATGAGACCTTCAGCGATAGTTCACCAAAATGTCAACAACACCTTCGCTGATATCTGTGGAAATAGGCACATCGTGTATCAGGAGAAAATAAGACATATAAATATGTGACATGAAGAAAATGTATTCCCGCAAAATGGACACCCGACTCACAGATTTAACATTATAAGTATAGGTTAGAGGACACCCGACTCTCAGATTCAACATTATAAGTATAGGTTAGAGGACACCCGACTCACAGATTCAATATTATAAGTATAGGTTAGAGGGCACCCGACTCTCGGATTCAACATTATAAATATAGGTTAGAGGACACCCGACTCACAGATTCAACATTATAAGTATAGGTTAGAGGGCACCCGACTCTCAGATTTAACATAATAAGTATAGGTTAGAGGACACCCGACTCACAGATGCAACATTATAAGTATAGGTTAGAGGGCACCCGACTCTCAGATTCAACATTATAAGTATAGGTTAGAGGGCACCCGACTCTCAGATACAACATGATAAATATAGGTTAAAGGACACCCGACTCACAGATTTAACGTTATAAGTATAGGTTAGAGGACACCCGACTCACAGATTTAACATTATAAGTATAGGTAAGAGGACACCCGACCCACAGATTCAACATTATGAGTATAGGTTAGAGGACACCCGACTCTCAGATTCAACATTATAAATATAGGTTAGAGGACACCCGACTCACAGATTCAACATTATAAGTATAGGTTAGAGGACACCCGACTCACAGATTCAACATTATGAATATAGGTTAGAGGACACCCGACTCACAGATTTAACATTATAAGTAAAGGTTAGAGGACACCCGACTCACAGATTCAACATTATAAGTATAGGTTAGAGGACACCCGACTCACAGATTCAACATTATAAGTATAGGTAAGAGGACACCCGACTCACAGATTTAACCTTATAAGTGTAGGTTAGAGGACACATGACCCACAGATTCAACATTATAAGTATAGGTTAGAGGACACCCGACTCTCAGATTCAACATCATAAGTATAGGTTAGAGGACACATGACCCACAGATTCAACATTATAAGTATAGGTTAGAGGACACCCGACTCAAAGATTTAACATTATAAGTATAGGTTAGAGGGCACCCGACTCTCAGATTCAACATTATAAGTATAGGTTAGAGGGCACCCGACTCTCAGATACAACATGATAAATATAGGTTAAAGGACACCCGACTCACAGATTTAACATTATAAGTGTAGGTTAGAGGACACATGACCCACAGATTCAACATTATTAGTATAGGTTAGAGGACACATGACCCACAGATTCAACATTATAAGTGTAGGTTAGAGGACACCCGACTCTCAGATTCAACATCATAAGTATAGGTTAGAGGACACATGACCCACAGATTCAACATTATAAGTATAGGTTAGAGGACACCCGACTCAAAGATTTAACATTATAAGTATAGGTTAGAGGACACCTGACTCACAGATTTTACATATAAGTATAGGTTAGAGGACACCCGACTCTCAGATTCAACATTATAAGTGTAGGTTAGAGGACGCCTGGCCCACAGATTCAACATTATAAGTATTGGTTAGAGGACGCCTGACTCACAGATTCATAATCATAAGTATAGGTTAGAGGACACCTGACTCACAGATTCAACATTATAAGTATAGGTTAGAGGACGCCTGGCCCACAGATTCAACATTATAAGTATAGGTTAGAGGACGCCCGACTCACAGATTCAACATTATAAGTATAGGTTAGAGGACGCCCGACTCACAGATTCAACATTATAAGTATAGGTAAGAGGACACCCGACCCACAGATTCAACATTATAAGTATAGGTTAGAGGACGCCCGACTCACAGATTTAACATTATAAGTATAGGTACCGGTTAGAGGACACCCGACTCACAGATTCAACATTATAAGTATAGGTACCGGTTAGAGGACGCCTGACTCACAGATTCAACATTATAAGTATAGGTAAGAGGACACCCGACCCACAGATTCAACATGATAAATATAGGTTAGAGGACACCCGACCCACAGATTCAACATTATAAGTATAGGTTAGAGGACGCCCGACTCACAGATTCAACATTATAAGTATAGGTTAGAGGACGCCCGACTCACAGATTCAACATTATAAGTATAGGTAAGAGGACACCCGACCCACAGATTCAACATTATAAGTATAGGTTAGAGGACGCCCGACTCACAGATTCAACATTATAAGTATAGGTTAGAGGACGCCCGACTCACAGATTCAACATGATAAATATAGGTTAGAGGACACCCGACTCACAGATTTAACATTATAAGTATAGGTTAGAGGACACCCGACTCACAGATTTAACATTATAAGTATAGGTAAGAGGACACCCGACCCACAGATTCAACATTATAAGTATAGGTTAGAGGACGCCCGACTCACAGATTCAACATTATAAGTATAGGTTAGAGGACGCCCGACTCACAGATTCAACATTATAAGTATAGGTACCGGTTAGAGGACGCCCGACTCACAGATTCAACATTATAAGTATAGGTTAGAGGACGCCCGACTCACAGATTCAACATTATAAGTATAGGTACCGGTTAGAGGACGCCCGACTCACAGATTCAACATTATAAGTATAGGTTAGAGGACGCCCGTCTCACAGATTCAACATTATAAGTATAGGTACCGGTTAGAGGACGCCCGACTCACAGAATCAACATTATAAGTATAGGTTAGAGGACGCCCGACTCACAGATTCAACATTATAAGTATAGGTACCGGTTAGAGGACGCCTGACTCACAGATTCAACATTATAAGTATAGGTAAGAGGACGCCCGACTCACAGATTCAACATTATAAGTATAGGTTAGAGGACGCCCGACTCACAGATTCAACATTATAAGTATAGGTACCGGTTAGAGGACGCCCGACTCACAGATTCAACATTATAAGTATAGGTTAGAGGACGCCCGACTCACAGATTCAACATTATAAGTATAGGTTAGAGGACGCTCGTCTCACAGATTCAACATTATAAGTATAGGTTAGAGGACGCCCGACTCACAGATTCAACATTATAAGTATAGGTACCGGTTAGAGGTCGCCTGACTCACAGATTCAACATTATAAGTATAGGTACCGGTTAGAGGACGCCCGACTCACAGATTCAACATTATAAGTATAGGTACCGGTTAGAGGACGCCTGACTCACAGATTCAACATTATAAGTATAGGTACCGGTTAGAGGACGCCCGTCTCACAGATTCAACATTATAAGTATAGGTACCGGTTAGAGGACGCCCGACTCACAGATTCAAAATTATAAGTATAGGTACCGGATAGAGGACGCCCGACTCACAGATTCAACATTATAAGTATAGGTACCGGTTAGAGGACGCCCGACTCACAGATTCAACGTTATAAGTATAGGTACCGGTTAGAGGACGCCCGACTCACAGATTCAACATTATAAGTATAGGTTAGAGGACGCCTGACTCACAGATTCAACATTATAAGTATAGGTACCGGTTAGAGGACGCCTGACTCACAGATTCAACATTATAAGTATAGGTTAGAGGACACCCGACTCACAGATTCAACATGATAAATATAGGTTAGAGGACACCCGACTCACAGATTCAACATTATAAGTATAGGTACCGGTTAGAGGACGCCTGACTCACAGATTCAACATTATAAGTATAGGTACCGGTTAGAGGACACCTGACTCACAGATTCAACATTATAAGTATAGGTTACAGGACGCCTGACTCACAGATTCAACATTATAAGTATAGGTACCGGTTAGAGGACGCCTGACTCACAGATTCATCATTATAAGTAAAGGTACCGGTTAGAGGACGCCTGACTCACAGATTCAACATTATAAGTATAGGTACCGGTTAGAGGACACCTGACTGACAGGTTCAACATTATAAGTATAGGTTAGAGGACGCCTGACTCACAGATTCAACATTATAAGTATAGGTACCGGTTAGAGGACGCCTGACTCACAGATTCAACATTATAAGTATAGGTACCGGTTAGAGGACGCCTGACTCACAGATTCAACATTATAAGTATAGGTACCGGTTAGAGGACGCCTGACTCACAGATTCAACATTATTAGTATAGGTACCGGTTAGAGGACACCTGACTCACAGATTCAACATTATAAGTATAGGTTAGAGGACGCCTGACTCACAGATTCAACATTATAAGTATAGGTACCGGTTAGAGGACGCCCGACTCACAGATTCAACATTATAAGTATAGGTACCGGTTAGAGGACGCCTGACTCACAGATTCAACATTATAAGTATAGGTACCGGTTAGAGGACGCCTGACTCACAGATTCAACATTATAAGTATAGGTACCGGTTAGAGGACGCCTGACTCAGATTCAACATTATAAGTATAGGTACCGGTTAGAGGACGCCCGACTCACAGATTCAACATTATAAGTATTGGTACCGGTTAGAGGACGCCCGACTCACAGATTCAACATTATAAGTATAGGTACCGGTTAGAGGACGCCCGACTCACAGATTCAACATTATAAGTATAGGTACCGGGTAAGAGGACGCCTGACTCACAGATTCAATATTATAAGTATAGGTACCGGTTAGAGGACACCTGACTCACAGATTCAACATTATAAGTATAGGTTAGAGGACGCCTGACTCACAGATTCAACATTATAAGTATAGGTTAGAGGACGCCTGACTCACAGATTCAACATTATAAGTATAGGTTAAAAGGACGCCTGACTCACAGATTCAACATTATAAATATAGGTACCGGTTAGAGGACACCTGACTCACAGATTCAACATTATAAGTATAGGTTAGAGGACGCC